CACACACACATACACACACAGGATATTTCGTAATTGGAGAGCACAAGCTTTGAATTTGTTAAAAAAAAATTCAGATCATTATCATTATTGGCTATTTAATATCTCTGTGGCTCTGTGCTACTCATCATGTGTGTGTGTGTGTGTGTGTGTGTGTGTGTGTGTGTGTGAGTGTGAGAGAGGAGACGAGAGAGAGAGAGAGATGACTTTTTTTTACAGTAGATCATTGAATTACTGAGTTGTTTGATTTTGTTTTAGTTTAGTCATCATTAGCCAGCAGATGATTTAGAGTGCAATCTAGTAGCAAGCAGTGTCTCAGTGTCTTGCCAGAGGACAGCTTGGAAATCTTCTGCTCCTTGGTGCACCAAAATAATGAACTATTTACATGTAATAACCTTTTTATTTATAAAGTCTGTGGAAATAAGCAGTGTGCCACTCACTGTTCTGCCTTTGTGTGTCAATGCTGAGATGTGCGGCAGCTCCGTAGCCGGCCATGTTGAAGGCTGTAACTGTGATAGAGAAGTTCCCTTCCTCCACCAACAGCAGCGCCGTTAACTCTGTGACGTTTTGAATCAATCTGTCCTGCAGCTGCTGCTTCTTCGCTGGTTCGTAGCTCACCTGGTATCCAAGGATATGACCTCCAGCATCATGGAGGTCAAGGTCCTGTAGGGAGATGTTTGCAAAATAAATTTGATACCACATTTGTTTGAAGACATTTGTCCACCTGATTTTGACAAAAATGTCTACTAGTTTTAGTCACAATTTAGTCGTTTAAGTTGTATTAGTCAGATGTTTTGGTCTAGTTTTCTCAGAGATATTTTAGTCTAATTCATGTTCAATTTTTCATTAAACCATAAATCTGTTGTTTTTTTTTCCTTCCAAGAAATGAAATATGAGAGTTACAGCTTCAGTGCAGTGTCACACTGGGTTAGACAGCTAAATCAACATCTTATTTTTGGCTATTTTTATGTGAAGGAGGAAATTGTTTTACTGATCACCAGTCATCATCAGTCATCCAATGAGACTTTGCATTAAAACAGTAATTAGTCCTCTAATGTCTGTCTTTCATATTATCATCTGGTCTTTATTTGTAAATTATTATTATTCTCGTTTTTGCTATTTAAAAAGGTTGTCAAAAAACACTTAATTTGATTATATTATTTTTGTTTTAAATTAACACTGATGACAAGAATATGTACTAGCAAACACAGCTAAAGCTTTAGGGATGTAATATTTTGACATTTTTCAACCAAAGGACCACCTAAACATTTTCTTTCCTTAGATTAAATGTCTTGTTTTAGATTCCCTGAAGACAACGGACCGTCAAAGATAAGGCAAGAGTGGACTTGATACTACATTATGACTTATCTTGATATGCAGAAAAGGGAGACAATTTTATACATGACTAGTCCAAGTATTTCCGATGTACCTTCCACATGAGATGAAGGAGTAAAGATCCACCAGGGTCTGTTCTCTCCACTCTGTAACACACCTCTGGAGACTTGGAGGGTACTGGCAAAGAAAAAGTACAAAATTAAAACTTGAATGTCAATGGTTTATTCTTTAACTTTGATCTCTGTTTGAATGTAAACTGTTACCCCTCTCCAGTGTCCTCACACTGACGTCAGAGCTCCAGTCACTCCAGATGTTAGACTCTCTGCAGGCCACAGCAGCTATGTAGTCGGTGAACGGCAGGAGGTCTTTGATTGTGTGGTTCAGTACCTGACCTCGATGTGCAGGGATAGAGTCTGAAGCCTGGTGACAAAAACAAAAACTAAAGGTACTCCAGACAAACAACTCATCAATGCATTTTGATTTGAGGGCTCCCCCAAACAAGGGCAACACTGAAAGAAAGGGATAAAGAACAAAACCTCAATAAGTACTTCCAAATTTATAAAAACAAACAGTTAAGACATGGACTTTTAAATATAGCAATGTTTGTGTTCTTGTACAAATGGTGTTGTGGGGACTCAAACTTGTTCACTCAATCACATTGTGGGGACAAGCTGATCCCTATAAATTTTATTTTATTTTAGGGTTAAAGGGCCATACAGCATGAGCCTGTCACAAATAAAATGTGAAAAATATGCTTGCAGCTCATGTATACAGTAGCTAAGGGGAGGAAAAACCTCTAGGTGGTTAATGTACAATGTATAATGTTCTCCTTCGTAACAAAAAGTGTTTGATGCTAACCTGGGACCATATGTTAGTGTGGTTGACTCTGTAGCGAAGTTGACAACTGCCGTCACTGCTGCTCATCCAAAACACATCAACAGAGTCTGCAGTGAAGCCAAGTACTGTTAATACAGGCGGAGAGGGTTTGACTGAGGAAAGGAAAATGGATGAAGAGAAGATAATTCAGCTACTTTATTATAATTTCATGTTAGCAATCAGTCTGTGGATTGATTTGTTAATTATCTCATATTTTCTGGAAAATTCAGATTGGAAACAGCAGAGGAAGACAACAGTTAACTGGCATTACAATTATTACTGTGTAGTGGAGTGATCAAATGTCTGGGACACTAACCTGCATCATAAAAAACCACAGTATGAGGTTGGGACCAGATCTCAGTCCCCGTCATGTAGTTTTTTATCCTTGCTGTGACACTTAGGACAGCTAATGGGTTGAAGACTGCCGGACAGGAGAAGATTTTATCCCTTCTAAAAAAGAAAGGAGGGAAATCAAAAGAGAGATAAATTAGTTTTCAATATTACATCTGATACAAAGAAAAAGCAGCACTGACTGGCTACATTTCAGAAATATGAAATAATTAGCTCTTGGTTAAAGTTAGTATAGTATATGTAGCTTCATACGTAGAACCTATATCTGGAGTACAACTTAAAAAAAAAATATTTCAGTAGTAAGCCATCACAGTTTTGTCAGTGTTTACCTCCTGAAGATGAGCGAGACATCAGACTCGGTGTGGCCTTTTGCCTCCTCACTCCACTCACAAGTCATGGATCTGTATGATATCTGGTAGTAACAGGACATGTTCAGGGTCTCTGCAGGAAAACAACAGGAGAAACCACTTTCAACAACATACGGTACACATAAGCCAACATTTTATTAAAATCTGAAAAATGGTGTCGCAGTTAAGGCCTTAAAACCTATTCTCTTATATTGTCGCACCTAAATGTAACTTTTTCTGTAAGCCAGAACTCTACCATAATGTACAATTCCCATGTGTCTCATCAAAGCTGGACAGATAGTATTTGAGAAATTGCAATTATAAGATTTCCGATTGTTATTATTGTTATTGTGACTTGCAGTTAAAGTACATTGTACCTATGTGCTGTCTTAGTCAACAAGTTAGTGATAGCTTCCTGCGTTGTACTCCTATAATCACATCAACTCGTTATTCACAAAGAAGTTTTACTTCCAGGTACTGTGTTAGAACTACATATTATACTTTTGCAAACTCGCCCAGAACAACTGATAGATATTTTAAAATTATTAAACCAATTCCTACCCAGCATAAGCATGTTTGATCATTATACATGTTTATACCTGGTTTAACCTTATTTTGTCTTATTAAAGGTAAATTACCCTGTATATGGATACAAAATAGGGGGAAATGTGTTGAATTTCAAAAGAACAACAATGAGTTTGAAGAAAATCTGTGGACTTTGGGGATGCTATAGAGTAACTACAAAATTAGTGAGTTTACAAATAAGTCAATACCTATTTTTAACAATTGGTTTGAATTTAGGTCAAACTTAATCAAAGCAAAATAGGAGGAACCAGTAAAAGACAAGGTAAAACAAGATATCTGACTGTTCTGTGTGTGTACTCACTCAGTACAGATGAAGGAGGTCGAGGGCCACAGTCTCTGAGGTCAGTGACACACACTTGCTTATCCTCTTCACACAGCTTCAGATCAAAGTACCTTACCGTCACTTCTAACACACACACACACACACACAACACAGAAAACAACAGGAATGACATCAAAACAAAACCTGATGATTCTACTTTTTCCTGAAGTTAAACCAGATAGGTCTAAATTATGAATATTTTCTTTTTTTTTTCTTTTTTAAAAATGCATATTATTTCTTATTTCTATTTTCTTGTAAAATACTTAAAAGTTTTTTTTGTATTTGTACATGGCACTGACCTTTGAGTGCACACAAAAGTTTGAATGGATCAGTAAAAGCCTATGTCTAACTGCTGAATTCAGAATCAGAATCAGAAATACTTTTGAAAAAATTTGTTTGTTACAGATGCTCGAGGTGCTCACACGACATTGAGAATAATTATATTATGACATCCTTAAAAGACTGCAGTATTAGTGACAGAATAGGACATAATATTGCACATTAACATTAACCAGAGAACATTACAGGCACCAGTTTGATGGCCACAGGTAGGAATGACTTCCTGTGGCGCTGTGTTGCATCTCGGTGGATTGAAGAACAATTTGCAAAGAATTAAATGCTTTAAACAACCCGAAGGGAAATATCAAAACTACAGGTAACATAACATACAACAATAACAATAATAAAAATAATTAGACATGCCCCTTTTAGAAGCTCAATTTAAGACCTGAAATAACTCTGAACCTCCTTCAGTCCAGTTAATTCAAGATTAATCGATAAATCTACTCCAGTAAATATCTGAGAAAGGTCATTTAAATTCTAGATTAAAAACAACTTTAATCTAGATTTTAGATTAATCCCTTCATGGATAAGGAACCATGAAGTTTAACATTTAAAAAAACAGCTAAATGCAATATGTGGCTTTCACTGAGAAATGTTTGTTGAGAAACTCACCATGAGAAAACACACAGAGGAGGTTGATCACTGTCCAGGTAGCACGGTGCAGTTTAAGAGAACAAATATCCATTTTAGCTGGTAAAAATGACGATATATTCAACAGATCAGCTCATTCTAAACATCTAAACTGCCTAAAGACAGTTTGAAAAACCTGTAGAGAACATGTTGTTTTTATCTCTGAGGGGTGTATGAGGAAGCCAGCAAATGAACTCGGCACCTCTCAGTTTCAGCCGCTGAGGTCAGGAAATTGCTCCATGCCTGTAGGTGACAAACATTAACACATTGTGTGTTTGTGTGTGTGTGTGTGTGATACGTTCCTTGGAAATGATCAAGTCTTACAGACACGGGTATGGGGCAGGTTTCAGTCTGTTTAAAACTTGTGCAGACTTCTAGCATTTGATATTTAGTTCTGTATCTTTTGCTTTTTCCCTTTTATACAATGTGATTTGTGTTCCACAAAGATCCTCTTTGTGTTGCTTAAATAACAACATTTGTTTGTTAGGTAATACATTCTTTACTAAACAATATTCTCTTGAACAAGGCATTCGACCAGCAACTTTTCTCACTCACTCTCACTCACACACACACACACACACACACACAGAGTGAAGACAGGAAATTACTTCTCATTTGTTTATTTTTCACTTTCTTCAAAAGCAAAATTTCAGCTTGTCTCCACTCATTTTTTTCTTTTTTCTTATAGAAAATGGAAACAAAAATTGCCTCGTACAAACATTTAAAAATGACTAACAGCGGAAAAAAAAAACCCAAACAAACAAAATAGAAAGAAATAAAACAGAAATAAACTCTGTACAGATTAGTAAAGAAAGAGGATTAATTCTTCCTCTGGACTTGCGTGTGTCCGCCTCAGCCCTGCTCTCCACACTGTGCAGTGAATTACAGCAGTAAACAAGCTTTCTAAGCTCAAACTCTCCATTTATATACACACACTGGATTGGCAGAGGAGTGCATTACTGCTGCTGTAGACAGAAAGGCTAAAGAAATACTTTTTCTTGATGTTCATTGAGGTGTTGGGTTTCATGACCTTTAGGCCTTTAAACCTGTTCAAATGTCAAGTTAATGGATGTCAGACAAAAACGTTTCCCCTCTCAGTCCTGAAAAACTGTTGTTTTTGGAGTTCTTTTTGCCTGGCAACAGATATAAAGTAAAGATAATGTGGTTATTTACAAACAAGAAAATAAGTGAAACAGACCAAATTATATATTATATATATATATATATATATATATATATATAAAAATATAATATATATATTATATATTATATCATATAGTACTCTATAGCTATACTGACTATAGCTAATATATGACTAGTAACTACTATATATATATATATATATATATATATATATATATATATATCTCCACTGGCCCTCTCTGATCACAACCTGATCTGATGAAACTTTCACACAATTTCGAGAACAATAAGACGATCCTACAATCACAGACAGCTGACAAACCATTTTTGTTGGATTGAATGAGTAATAAGCTGCACTGGATGTAGTGAGCAGAGTTGATAGTGTCTGTGAAACTATAACACATAAAAAACTGTGTCTTTGATTACCTCAGAGGCCTGTTTCATACACATATATACCTTGAACATTTGATGAGTATGACATACAGGAGCTCAGGAAAGCTGACAGCACATTGTCCTTAAACAGCTACTGGTATTTACAATCAATTAGTTTGAATGTGACTGTGGCATTAGTTTATAGTAAAAGAAGTTCAAAAAGTGTCAGAAAAACCTGCAGATCAGAGGACTAAATGTTCAGGTTTTGTGTATGTAGAAGAACATAATTCTGTTTTCCTGTCTGTCTGTGTTCTCTTGCTAAACACCTGCAGACAGACAGGCAGGAGGATGCAACAATAAGGTCTACAGTAAATATGATATAATCTGAGTTGTCATGATAAAGGTTAAGATCTGCCTGAAAACCGAGTTTGGTTCTAAATCCACTCATCCAGCACATTATAAATGTGACTTATTAAGCACACTCAGTATGTTCCTTAGTTGGCAAGTTATTTGATTATCTTGATTTTAGAGGCGATGACGAAGTTTAGGTAAAAAAATGGATGTGTTGTGTAGAACACTTGGTGACATGACTTCAAACTGTTGTTTAAAAATGCCGTCTAGCATCGACAGCTTGCACTGATGTCTGAAACAGTTGCAGATCAAAGATGTGATTAATCCACACTACCACACATCTACAAGAGATTCCTGCGTTGCCACAACAATCAGATTGAATTGCCAGTTTGTTTTTTACTTAAATTGTGTCACAATACAAATTGAGCTGTTGTGCTTCCGTTACATCTTCTCACCTCTGAGTTGCTTTAAGTGCTCTTTGACTTGTGTGTGGTTAGAATCAGCTACAAAGTGACTAAAGGCAAACTTTTTTTCTTCACTTAAATATCTGAGATCCCGTCTGACTCCGTTTCCCAGAAGTCCATCCTGTATTTCATTATGTAAATTTGATTTCCAGCGATGATCTAAATGTAATAAATCTTTTTTCGCTGTGACTTTACATTTTGGTATTAGCAAGCCAATATACTCAAAACTTCACCTATTGGCAGATTGAGTCAAGAAATATCAGCCTCTAAAACCCGGTTGAACCTTTGTCTGGATGCCCTTCATTTCCTTGCAGATACAGGTGTGTGGTTATTTCTACAATTAAAGGCATCACTTTGGTACAAGCATATTGCTCCTTTACATCCATTCTGATTCGTTTCTTGTATGAGTGTCTCACCTCTGCTCTCTCTCTCTCTCTGAGGAGGGAAACAGCCTTGAGAGCGACAGGACACACAGCTGCTGATACTGCATGTGGCAGGGATCAAACCTGCAACCTATCTATCACAGTCTCTCTTAAGTTAATCTTTTTAAGTTCATGATTAGGAGTGCAGGAGAGAGGTGCATAGGTCAGGAAAAAACACATTAAGCAGGAAAAAAAGACAAAAGACGAAAAGTTCAAATTGAAATCGTGATTAAAAAAAAAAAAAAAAACACTAAGCACCCACTTCTCCCCAGTGAGCAACAGCACTGAAAAGTCCCAGCGCTTGAAAGGCTGTGAACTGGCTCTTATTAAAGTTCTCACAAAACACTCCGCTTTTTCCAGCCAGAACAGCGTTTCAAGATTCCCAAGTGGAGGAAAGCAGTCAAGAGTTTACCGGAACCGAGCGGAGCCGGGACGAACCAAACTGGTTTCATGATGAGTCCAAGTGTGTGTTTGTGTCAGTCTGTGCATGTCTGTGTATAGCAGTGTGTGTGTTATTTGTTGCGCAGCAGCTCCAGCTGGTCCTGGTATTCAGTGAACAGTCTCTGGAATCGCAGGTTCTCAACAATGACGGGTAAAACCTCCCGCAGCAACTCCCGCTTACGTAGACCCTGAACACAGAAATCAATGAAAACAAATAGTTAGAAACATGTTTGAAACGCAGTGCCAAAGCTAGCTATGGCTAACTCATTAACTGGTCAAAACAGGACTACAGTGTCCACAATATGATGTACCAGTGAAATGTAATCAGTTTGAAAATAATTAGATGCAGGGAGGATGAAGGACTAATATGTGTCAGCAGTTTTTGCAGCAGGTGTAAGAATGAAGCAGGACCTCAAGTCGCTTGTCAAAGTTATGGAT